GAATTGTTGTAAATAAATATCACATTTGCAACTGGTCAGTGCTCAAAAAATGCTGGGGAATCACTTCATGTAGCCCTACAAGAGTGATTACTGATAAACTGTCTGAAAAAAAGAAAGTCACGTTTTAGAGAATAAAAAAATCACACACTGACTTTCAGAGCTGCTAACGACTTTCTACTTCGAGGACCTTGATAGAAATGTAGTGGAGTGAAAAGTACAGTATTTGTCTTTAAAATGTAGTGAAGTTAAAGTCATAAGTTCCCAGAAAACATAATACTCAAGTAAAGTACCGATACTCAAAAAGTGTACTTAAGTACAATACTCAAGTAAATGTACTTAGTTACTGTCCACCTCTGTATTTTATGCACACTTGCACATATCTATGGGCTTAAATCTCTACGCATTATACAGGACTTTTATTTTGATCTTGAGAGGTGACGTCATAAGGCTGCGCCGCTCTCCTGAATCGGTTATGATTCGGCTAAAGAAAGGTTTGTGTTTTAGGCATTTTAGTGTTTATATCGATACAAACCGTTCAGGCAATGTTTTTTTTTACAAGCGATGTAAAATGAATTAATCACCACTGAATGCACATTTCAATGCGTCGTCTAACATAAATGAAGGTTATTTGTGTAAGTAAAGCGCATCCACATGATTAACAAGTGAAGGCGCGTCTCATTTCGCTCCCTATAGTGAATCATTTTATGAGACTATTAGTCAACTGAATCAAATGCTTCGCAAAATGATCCACTGATTTAAGCGCTCGAATCACCTGCTGCTCAAAACAGTGTAAATGCAACGAGAACAACAAACAAACATTTTTAATGACAACTTTTACAAACCAGCAGCAAATGAATATGAAGTGTCTATGTAGGTTGTGTACTTTTATTGATTTGTAGTGCTAGTTTTGAGTGTTTTTGGCCATTTAAAGCTATTAACTCTCACTCTGACTGACTCCTTTACCAGTGTGCTGGCTACTGAACTATAGGGAGCTGATTGAGACACACCTAGAGATTTAGTTTGGATTTATTTTTCTTTCTGTTAATTATTCTCATCTTAAACAGGACAAAGTGTCCAAACACACAGAAAAACTCCTGGTGAAACTGAGATCTACGTGACACACTATTATAAAGATGGCGTTTATTAAAGAGGAGAGTGAAGACGTGAAGATTGAAGAAACATTCAGAGTAAAACATGAAGATGCTGAGGAACAAAAGAGGAGAGTGAAGACATGAAGATTGAAGAAACATTCAGAGTAAAACATGAAGATGCTGAGGAACAAACAGGTTGGTTTTCATTCTCAAAGCTGAACTCACTTATTTTAATGTCCAGCTCTACAGAAATAGAGATATGAAAATAATACAGAAGTAGCCTAAACAAAACAATTATTTTGAGTAACATTAAATCCATTATCTACTTTTGATTAGAAAACAACGAAAATTGTATCTAACAAAAAAAAAATGTTTTGCATGAAGCAAACAATGACAATTCAGTTTTAACTTGACATTTGTTTTATTTGTAATTTTTTTCAACTCGTCCCCAAAAGTGCCATACTAACACATACATACCTGAATGTAAATAGCAGTAAATATTCATTACAGCAAGCAATAAATAAGTCATAATGTCAGAAACACCAGCCTACTTATAAAATAATAAAACATTTCTCCAGCTGACACAGCTTGGTAGTTACTGTTTATCTTTGTTCTTCATTTGAAGATCTTTGGTGAGCAAATAATACAGTCAGTGACCAGTTACTTTATAATGAACTGCAGCATAATAAAATCAAACCGTTCATGTTTATGAACGACACAAACAGTTGATATCAAAGACCTAAGTAGTGCACTAAAGAAAAAAAAATGTTAAAAATAACCTTCTGTTATGCTCAGTTGTAAATGTATGCTCAGAAGTTGATCTAGGATGAGAGTTTCTTCTCCTGATTTCATGTAGCAGCACACGTGTGGGATCTTCTTCACATTAAGACACAACATAAATGTGAGGAACAAACTCTCAATAGATTTTACAGGGGATACTGAGACTAGCTTATATATAGCCGCTTTTCCACCATAGGCCGAACAGCTCCAAGAACGATAAGTTCCGGTTCCGGCAGAATGCGTGTAGTGACGTTGCCACTTCGGATCAGTCACTCGTTTGTTGTCTGGCTACAAAAGCCTTGTCAGATCCGATTTTTCTGCATATCCGATTGGAGTCCGATCATATTTAGTAAGACTGAACAGCAAAAAATCACATTAAATCCTATTGATACAAATCAGTGGTACGTTTGTATGTGGTTTGAAATCCTATTTCTGGAAATTCGTTTCAGTCTGAGTGCTCGGATCGGATTTTGCATAGGTTTTTCACAAGGGGTGTAACTGTAAACAAACATGACGGTTCGATACGTACCTCGGTTTTGACGTCACGGTTCGGTACAGTTTCGGTACATCTTTGTTACCGGATTTAAACACTCACCACCTTATTCTGGGTGGAGATTTGAACTGTGTGATGGATACAGCTATGGACCGTTCCAACCGTAGAACTGTACCTCTTTTAAAAATGTCTCAGATTTTTGCTGAATATGACTCAAATTGGCTGTGTGGATCCATGGAGGTTTTTATTTCCTGATAAAAACAATGTTTTCTTGCTTTTCACATGTCCACCAGACTTAATCAAGGATAGATTAGTTCTTTACTGATAAAAGTCTTATCACTGCAATAAAAAAACATAGAATACTCTGCTATTGGCGAATCAGACCATGCACCCGTAATTCTTGATATTTGTTTTTCATATAGCTATCCAACACGCCCAGTATGGAGGTTAAACACAACCTTACTTTCAGACGCAAATTTCTGTCAATTCATATCTAGAAATATTGATAATTTTTTACTAACAAATAAAACCGATATATCACCATCACTATTATGGCGGGAGATGCTTAAGGCGGTACTAAGAGGAGAAATAATATCATATTCTGCCTCACATAATAAAGAACGAAAACAAACACAAGAGAAACTTATTAAATCTATACAGACAATTGACCATCAATATGCTATGGCCCCAACGGCATAATTGTATAAAGAAAAACTAAGCCTTAAGACAAAATATGATTTAGTATCGACAGAAAAAACAGAACGTGATCTAGTTTTTGCCCGTGCCAGGTTTTACGAACATGGAAAAAGGAGAGCCAAGAACTAAATGAAATGGAAGACAAAGTTCAGTATGAGGAACATCGTGATTTCACAACCGGAGAAAATTTGTTTAGTTCCTCACAGACTAAAAAGACTACAGGAAAAAGAGCTCAAAAAACTGGAGCCAGAAGTCATTTCACCTGCCAACACTGTGGAAAAAACGTCACTAAAAAAAGAAGCCTTGAAGTCCATATGAGGATTCACACTGGAGAAAGGCCTTACACCTGCCAACAATGTGGAAATAGTTTCATTCGAAAAGGAGACCTTAAAAACCACATGAGTGTTCACACTGGTGAGAAGCCTTACACATGCCCTCAATGTGGAAGGGGTTTTACACGTAAACAAACTCTTAATGCCCACATAAGAATTCACACAGGAGAGAAGCTATACACCTGCCTACAATGTGGAAAGAGTTTCACAGTAAGAGGAAACCTTGAAGTCCATATGAGAATTCACACTGGAGAAAAGCCTTACACCTGCCAACAATGTGGAGAAAGTTTCATTAAAAATGAAACTCTTAAAGTCCACATGAGAGTTCACACTGGAGAAAAGCCTTACACCTGCAAACTGTGTGGAAAAAGTTTAGTTAAAAAAGCAACCCTTGAAAGGCACATGAGGATTCATACCGGAGAGAAGCCTTACACCTGCAAACTGTGTGTAAATAGTTTCATTCGAAAATCAGACTTTGAAAACCACATGAGAATTCACACTGGAGAGAAGCCTTACACATGCCCTCAGTGTGGAAGGAGTTTTACACGTAAACAAACTCTTAAAGCCCACATAAGAATTCACACAGGAGAGAAGCCATACACCTGCCAACAGTGTGGAAAGAGTTTTACTCATCAAGGAAACTTCAAAGGCCACATGAGAATTCACAGTGTAGAGAAATCTTTGACCTGCCAACAGTGTGGAAAGAGTTTCAGACGTAAAATATCCCTTAATAACCATATAAGGTTTCACTCGATAGAAGGAATTTATGTCATCAGTGTGGAAGGAGTTTCACAGAAAGGAAGCACTGTAAGAATCGTGTAATAACTCGTATCGGAAAAAAAGAATTCATTGTGCCATCACTGTGGAAAACTGGAAAAACAGACAAAGCAAACCTTGAGATTCACGTGAGAATTCACAGTGAAGAGAAGCCTTTCACATGCCGTCACTGAGGAAAGAATTTCAGATCAAAAGAAAACTTAACTGTCACATGAGGCTTCACACTGGGGCAGTCGTGGCCTAATGGTTAGAGAGTCGGACTTGTAACCCGAAGGTTGCGGGTTCCAGTCTCAGTACCGGCAGGAATTGTCAGTGGGGGGAGTGAATAACCAGCGATCTCTTCCACATTCAATACCTCGACTGAGGTGAGACCCTTGAGCAAGGCACCGAACCCCCAACTGGGTACCGGCAGGAATTGTCAGTGGGGGTGTGAATAACCAGCGATCTCTTCCACATTCAATACCTTGACTGAGGTGAGACCCTTGAGCAAGGCACCGAACCCCCAACTGGTCCCCGGGTGCCGCAGCAATATGGCTGCCCACTGCTCCAGGTGTGTGTTCACGGTGTGTGTTAACTACTGTAGATGGGTTAAATGCAGAGCACAAATTCCGAGTATGGGTCACCATACTTGGCCATACGTCTCTTCACTTCACTTCACTGAAGAAAAGCCATTTACTTGTCTTAAAGGGATAGTTCACCCAAAAATGAAAGTCATCATTTACTCACTCTCAAGTTGTTTCAAACATGTATCAGTCCCTCCAGGATTTTGCGAATCTGCAATTGTTGAATTCATCGCAAAATCAAGCAAACTCCGCAATTTTCGCAAGAGCTCGCAAATTTTCGTAATTGCCGCAGATTTTGGGCTTAGACGTGTCCCGTGACGTTATCGCAACACGCATTCAGTCAAAGAAAGATTTCTCAGTTACAAAAATGTAATGAACAGCCTTGCGTTCTCATCATGACTGATTTGCAAGAGCTACATTGGACAAACAAACGAATTTGTCGTTCCGCGAATCCACGTTACTCATTTGGGCTACACAGCGCAGACCGTTTATCTGCTCGGGCCGGAGCCGCGGGCTGATCTCGATCACGCGACACCATTATACACAGCGCTGGGAGATACAGTGAAGAAAGTAGTCCAATTCGCTGCAGAATCAATAACATTTGTGAAATTTTGTGAGAAGCATTCAAATTCGGTGCAGAATTCTGTTAAAGCTACAGATATCAGAACAAACGCCACTGATGTGGAAACCAGGAAAAACACTTCAATAAACACAAATCACCACCATTCACCATGGATTTAACAGTAAAACTACAGGAACAACTTGTGGCAGAAATGGTCTAATGTTTTTGAGTGTTTTTAAATGCTTCACACAACTTTTCCCAGCACTTTAAAGCTTTAAGTATTACCGAATTTGAAAGTTATTTTCAATGTGATGACATTATTCGTTCATCCTTCATAGGTTGCCCCCATTTAGAAAACTAAAAGTTTCATAATGTAGGAAAGCAAACATTTATTTAAAAATAAAAAATACTTAAATTACCTTTAGTGGAAGGCTGCATAGGCTTAATAGCCTGGAAATGGCTCCCTAATATATCTTTTTTGTATTTATTAAATTATGTTTATACATTATGAATGACAGTAAAAGTACATTTTATCTGCATCTCAACTACCCAGACAGCACAAGTACATCTGTAAGGCATCTGCTAAGGATCTGGGAAACATCTGCTGTGTAATCTGATAAATGTCTCAGACATTTATTAGAATGCATGTAAAACTGCTTCTATTTAACATCTGTCAGAAAATGACTTAGAGACATATTGCAGATGAGCAAACACACTAAAAAAATACATCTTGCATACGTAAATGCAGACATCAAATAGACATCTCCAAAATGTACATGTGCGATTGGGGTGAGTGGTTTACTGTCAGGAGCTGGTGCCACCTTCTGTAGAACATAATGGCACTGGTGCTGGTGTCCTCAAATGTTAGTCTGGAGCCCTACAATAGTTCTCGAAGTCAGAAAAGTCATAACAATGTTAGAAGAATGTTGTCTTTGGTATATTTTCACTGCAAAACAATAAGAAATGGTGCAAATATCACCGCAAATTTTTAGAAAAGCCGCAGCAAAATCAGTCGATTTAGGCCGCAAAAATCAGAAAAAAGTCCCGCGAAATCCTGGAGGGACTGGTATGAGTTTCTTTGATTTAAGACCCCCTAATAGAACATACACAGACACACCAAGACCGATGTCCTTTGAAATACTCCTAGAACGTTGGAGAGTGAGGGAGAGTTGAGTTGGCATGTTTGAGATGAATCTGTGTAGTAGAAAAAAACTTCTATAATCTGGTGTTGAGTGATTTTATTTTTCAAGTTCTTCTGTGTTTATTTCTTTTCTTATCGGTCTTTTGATTTGCCCCCATTCGGGTTTTTTTTTTTCTTTTCTTTTTTTGGTAATTTGTTTGAAAGTGTTGCCCTTTGATTTCATTGTAAATTATGTAAATATTACCAGGTTCTATCACCGCAGAGGCAGTAGACTTTTTTTGTTTTGGATTGCCTGTGATTGCTGTAGTCAGGGAAGTCCACTCTAATTTCTTTTCTTTTTATCTAGGTCAAGTAGTGGTTATGTTTTTAGTCAGTAGCATTTTTTGTTTGTTGTTTTGGCTTTTAACCAAGCCTGAGATTCATATTTGAGTGGTGTAAGAGAAAACCAAACCACCCCTTGGAAACAGTAAAAGCGGTTCACCGCTGTTCAGTTCATTTTCATATCAAGCTACCAGCTAACATCAAAATTTAAGAAATTTAAAACAATTTAAATGACAACTCACTTTTAGACACCAGCAAATATCTGAATTAACGTACGATTGCGACCCAATGGCAATTGATCACCGTATGAGACAGAAATGTATTTTATGCAGTGCTAAAGACCACGCATGCTATCCATCGCCATTATAAATACATTTATGCTTATGAAAATACCAGACACCACTTGATTATAATCATATATGATTTGTACAAGATCTTAATGTATTTATTTGTTTTCATATTTGTTCTGTCTCTTACCTATGTCTTTGATACCGGACTTCTGCATATGTCAGAAAAATATTGATAAACCCTTGTATGTTTATGTATATTTTGTTATATGTGTACGCATTTGGACGTAAAAGCATAATGGAGCCGTTTTGTGCATTCCTGTCATCACATAAATAGAGCAGCTGCGACTGAACAAGCATGTGTGTTCTGTTTTTATATGAAATAATGATAAATATCAGTTTGATTTAGCATGCTGACACAAATTACTATTTGTATTGTAAATCATTGGTATATAAAAATATCAATTCTGAATTCTTTAGTTAGTTGATATACTTAGTTTACTAAGTATACTTAGCTGGTGAAATGGTGGGGTTGTGTGACATTTGCTTCAGAGAGGCGTGTTAGTGGCGGGTTTTTGAGTAGCGCTGGTCCGACAGTGGAAACGCAGCTTGACTTTGGCCTCGCAGCTTGAGGTGTAAGGCTATTGGCCCAGCACGGCTCGTTAGCCCTGGCTCGCACTGGCCTGACAGTGGAAAATCAGCTACTGTTTTTAAGACACTCCGTAGTTGTTTCTTATTTATTTAGCCATGCTGATACAGAGTGATATCACATGGCAACAAGTGTTATATTGCTCATACACAC